CTTCGATCAGGACCTTTAATCGTTCAATATCAGATTCGAGAGGACGTCCAGATTTCGGACGATCTTATAATGACATGTCACCTTCACGAAATCGTTTAAACCAATCTCGACACGTTCGATCAACAACAGCACCTTCGCCAAGTGCAGCGCATATATTGCGGGCAACAGCGCTTGCATTGTTCCCTAATTGGAACTCATACAAAATGCCATGTTTTAATGAAGAATGTAAATAAACTGGGACATTTACCAATGTCATCTTATAGTATGACACAAGCAGTATCACATGTGTGAAAATCACGAATGCATAGTAGTGCTAGAAGGCTTTAAGAAAATTTTTAAAAAATCGGCGGAGACTTATGCATCAACCCAATAGCTAGAAAAAAATTCACTCAACTCTCTTAACACTCAAATTTTATGTAATACTTATAGGGCGTGTTTCCCAATCATCCTAATGCATTCCTGGAGTTTTGCATAAGAAATGAATATTTTCAATTGGATCAGCTTTGCGCTGAGGTCAACATGTTTCCCTATCAAGGAGATGAATTGAACTCGAAGCCATATCTTGATCTTTCTTCTGACGGATTGAAAAAGCAAAGCAATGCAGGAATGCCTTTAACATCAATGCAAATGTTTTATCTATTCATCAATTTGCCGTTTATTGTTAAAAAGCTACTGCATTCATCGAATTTTCAACAGTATCATGCAATATTGATATGTGTAGATATTCTTTCATTATGTTTCGCAACAACTACCGGATGGGCCATAAATAATGATGGTCTCCGTATTTCTGGAATATCTCCGCCATTTTTCATTCGTTCGATCTAATGTTTTTTTTGAACGATGCGTCATTCGATTCTCTACAAAAATAACTATTTTTATTATCTTAAATAATTTCCCTTGTCTTGAGACAATCGATACAATCGATTAGTCCAAGACGAACAACTTTCAAAGACAACATCCTGGGAAATTTTTCGAACAGCACGTTTCAGAGCAGTGATTAATGTTGTTTTAGATGTCACTGCGTCCCACTCGATCACTTGAGCGAATTCGTTCCAAATACAGTAGTCCAATGAATTTAAATCAGGACTGTTTGGAGGCCAGTGGCTCTTGTCAATGAACGATGGAAAGTTCTTGGTGCACCATTCCTGAGATTTTGCATGTGTGTGAGGCTTTGCACCATCTTGCTGGAAGATCCAGTCGTTTCCAAACATGTCATTGCCAAACTTGAGAGCGACTGGAAGCACCTCCTTGATGTATCGGTCATGATCGACTGTCCCTTTCTCGAAAAAAATTAGAGGTGACACACCTTTAGAACAAACTCCGAGCCAAACCATAACTTTTTGCGGAAATTTACGTTTCTGCCGGGTACCACCTTTGATATCGGCTTCTGAACGATTAACCGTCCATATTCGGTCATTTTGAGAGTTATAAACTCCATCAATGTCGAACATCTTCTCATCAGAAAACAGAATTTTCATCGTGTCCTCTTTTCGGAAGTTTGTTCGTATCCAATTAGCAAACTGGATTCTTTTTTCTTTATGCTCATCGGTGAGCATCGATTCATTTTGTACTTTGTAGGCATGGAGTCCTAGATCATTCTTGAGTACTCTCCGAACACTCATTCGAGAAATACCCAATTCACGGGATAGTTTTCGAGAACTTACAGTCCTGCGCCGTTCGAGTCGGTGTTTGACTTTTTGAATGTTTGCGTTCGTTCGAATTGTTCTCGGGCGATCGGGTGGTTTTGATAGATTGATGCAGCCGGTGTCACGGATGCTTTTGCACCATCGTTCTATCGTCGGAAGACTGAGCGTACCGTTGAGATCTCGAAAAATCTTTGTCGGTCCATCACCATTTTCGTACTT